GCTGTTGAATTGAACAGCACTTGGCAAATTTATTAGACTACCTGTCATAAAACAATAAATAATATCGACATATAACTAAAACCATTTTTCTGTTCAGAAATGCAAGTAATAATTGTAACATGGCACAATAATTAGAAAAAAAAAATAAGGTAGTTTTTAAATTCATGGATAATAGCAATGATTGTATATTAGCATTAAAATGTCATTTTGATTAAAGTGCTTTTGCATACTGGTGGATTACACCATTACACAAGCATTAAAAAAAGATATGATTATAATTTTTAATAAAGATATAGTTACCAGTGCAGCTGTGGCATAAACCTCTCACACAGTCTAATAAATTTGTTAAGAACTGTATATGAGGAAAAATGAGAATTATTGTCACAGTAATGTTTTCTTCCATTTATTTCAAATATTTTGGTAATTATTGTATCGCAACATTTTTCATCCAGTCTCACTCACAACAAAGTCACAGAGAAAGGCTGTGAAATGCTGGCCTCAGCACTCAGCTCCAGACCTCCCCACCTGAAAGAGTTGGACCTGAGCTACAATGACCTACAAGACTCGGGGGTGCTGGCACTGTGCAATGCACTGACAGGTTTAAAAACACTCAGGTTAGTACAAAAAATAACTCAGACAAAAGGTCATGCTTTTTAAAAAGAGAAACTGAATATATGGTACAGTTGAGTTGCATTTCAAAAATGAGAGATAATTAGAAGGAACTGAACATGATTTACTGATATACAGAATTCAGCTAATTTAAAGTTCAGTTAAATTTGCTCAGTTAAGTACGTGGATTTGAGGCTGATTGGCCTCAAGAAGTTGAGCAGAAACATGATCGGACTAGTCTGTAATGTCGCAATGAGCTTGACAGCGTGGGAAAGTGAAAGTGACGTAAGCTTAGATTAGCCACCAAACGCATGGGAAGCAGACAGATGTGTGACTGCAGGTCTTCCTTATTGAACTTAAGCATAACACTTTTTTGCAATAATTTTTGCAATCTAATCATTTGATATCACTGAAAAAAAGTGAGAGGCACATAGTGCTGTCCAAAGGGACACTGAGAAAAAGCTATGAAATGGCACTTGTGTTATGACAGAAAGTCAAACTTGGCACTGATGAGAGCATCTACCACTCATTGTTTGCTTTCTGTAGGCTATCATTTTGTAAAGTGACAGACGATGGAGGCTCCTCTTTGGTCTCAGCTCTAAACTTGAAACCCTGCAGTCTCAAAGATCTGGACCTCAGCTTTAATAACCTCACTGATGACATAGTCCAGATGCTGAAGGAAAAACAGAGGGATTCATGCTGCAGTCTGGAAAAACTCAAGTATGGAAAACCAATAACAAACACAGTTTTATACTTGATAATATTATAATAATGTTTGCAAGTTGATTTTTATCATTATTCCCATCAGTGTGGACCAAAACGCAGAATGCTGGGTTGACCTGAAGCTGCTGAGACAGTGTAAGAAAACCTTTTCTTGTTCCTGAAATGTTACATGCTACATGTGATTTGCATCCATGCAGTTATATTTGCAAGTGTTTACAAGTCCCTAAACATTTTCCAAATCAGGATGAATATACAAAAATGAACAATAGTGATTTACTATAAATAATATTTTCTACATCACGAAAGTGTAAAGTCCAATGCGGCCTTGTGCTTAATCAATGATAGTCTATAGTTTAAAGTCATATCCAAATTAGAGCTTTTTTCTGTGGCCAAGGGACAATGTT